GAGTCTCGCTCTGTCACTCAGGCTGGAGAGCAGGGATCTTGGCTCATGGCAACCTCTGTCTCTGGGGTTCAAGGTATTCTCCTGCCTCAGCCTTGCAGGTAGCTGGGATTGCAGGAGCCTGCCACCACGACCAGCTAATTTTTTTTGTTTTTAATAAAGACAGGGTTTCATCATGTCTTTATTAAGACATGATGACCAGACATGGTCACCATGTTGACCAGGCTGGTCTAGAACTCCTGACCTCAAGTGATCCACACACTTCAGCCTCCCAAAGTGCTGGGATTACAGGAGTGAGCCACTGTGCTGGGCCTAGCTACACTGTTTTCTTTTTTATTTTATTTTATTTTATTTTTTATGAGTAGAATCTCAAAGTACACTGTTCTCTAATCCTACCAGCAATGAAGGAGTGTTTCTGTTGCTCCACCTATTGGTATTTTAATTAGATTAGCATTAAGTTTATAGATTAGGAGTAATTGGACTTTCCACTATATTTATTGGTATTATCCAAGAATAGGATAGATTTTCCAATTTATGAAATCTTCATTTATATTGCGAGTAGCTTTTTTTTTTTTTTTTGAGAAGGAGTCTTGCTCTGTTGCCCAGCCTGGAAGGCAGTGACGTGATCTCGGCTCACTGCAACGTCCACCTCCCAGGTTCAAGCAACTCTCCTGCCTCAGCCTCCTGAGTAGCTGGGACTACAGGTGTGCACTTCCATGACCAACTAATTTTTTTGTATTTTTGGTAGAGCTGGGTTCTTGCCATGTTGGCCAGCCTGGTCTTGAACTCCTGATCTCAGATGATCCACCCACCTCGGCCTCCCAAAGTGCTAAGATTATAGGCATGAGTCACCTAACCTGGTCCCAAGTAATATTTAAAGTTTTCCCTAAGCTGTGTTGGGAAATAATTCTCCAGGGGCTCTCCTGTCTCTGCATGTCTTGGGTTTTTCTGCCTTTGTTCTAGACTATCTTTTCAAGGACGTACTATAGCAAACAGACTTAAAAGATAGAGTTAGTATCTCCCGTAGTGGCAAAGGCCAGGCATGTTTAAGGTCTAGTATAAAATATTCGGATTTCCTGAGCTCAGGCCTCTCATCCTATAGTGCAGATCACTGCAGGCTCAAGTGTCACCTGGCCCTCTTTTGCCCTGGCCTGCAGAAACTAGAGCTCAGGAAATTGTCACAGAAAATGCTAATAGTCTGACTATTGCAATTACTGTAACAAAATCTTTTGTTTCTGAGTAAGGAGTCTTACGTCTCTGCCACTGTCCATGAAACTGTGGCAGACTAAACTTTTAGCTCCCTTAAGTAGGGAAAGATGATTTTTTACTTAGAGGAAAGAAAACATGTTGTCTAGTAGAAAAAAATATGTTGTTGCTTCCATATAATGGAACTATTCTTATTATTTTAAAAGTCTAGTTTTAGATGTGTGATATTATCTATAATAGTGGTATTATCTATAATTACTGTAATTAGTACAGTGATATTATCTGCAGGAGCAATTGAGGATGTTACAAATTTTGTGAACTCTGACTATATATGACTCTTAAGCCAAGATTCTAACCCTGTGGCTAATGTTTAGTTTTACAATAGTAGTTTCAGTCTCTAAGCTAGGAAGGGGCTAGTTTCAGGAAGGAGCTATTGTCATCTTTGTTTTACAGTTGAACTGTAGGCTGGGTGCCATGGATCATGCCTTTAATCCCACCACTTTGGGAGGCTGAGGCGGGTGGATCACCTGAGGTCAGGAGTTTAAGACCAGCCTGGCCAACATAGCAAAACCCTGTCGCTACTAAAAATACAAAAATTAGCTGGGCGTGGTGGAAAACTGCTTGATCCTGGGAGGGGATGGCAGAGGTTGCAGTGAGCCGAGATTTCAACACTGCACTCCAGCCTGGGCAACAGAGTGAGACTCAATCAATCAATCAATCAATCAGAAAGAATTATGGCAGGGGCTTGAACTTTGGTAAAGAATAGGTATAGTTAAACAATGACCTATCATTTCTTAGCATTGTTTCTCAGAAGTTGTTTGCTGCTCCGGAGTCACATAACCGGGGTGTCATGAGATTTTTTAACTTCCCCAGCTACTCCTATAGATAACATCACTATTGTGAAATAAATAACTGGTCTTTGAGATATTTTTCAGATTTAGCAGACCAAGAGATGCTGCTGATTCTGAGACCCGGTCCCGGGAACTGAGGCAATTACACAAAGACACTTTAGACACCCTTTTGATTTCATCTCCAATCAATTGTTTCAGTGCCTGAGCTCCCTGCTTAGCAAAGTACTCTGAAAAACTCTAGCCTCCAAAATCTTGGGGCGGCATATTTGGTAAATACCTCCTATCCTTTGGCATGGCTGGCCCTGCAGTTATGAAACTCTTTCTTTGCTGCGATGCCTGCTGTTCTCAGGGCGTTTTTCTGGGCAGAAAGAACCCATCAAGTGTGACAGTGCTGGAATTACAGGCATGAGTCACTGTGCCTAGCCTGTATGAAGCATTTTAACTACATACAAGGTAACAGATAGCCAACTACTAATGAAAATGGCACAAGGTATAAGTGGCTTAAAAGAATTTAAAAGACAATAGAAAATATTTAAAATTGCATCAAAGCTTCCCATTTAAAGAGCAGGAGATGGGTGGGTATGTAAATTAGGATAGCCATTAAGTTATACACAGATGCCTCCAAAAACTCAGAGTTACCAAATGATCCAGCAATTTCACTTCTGAGTATTTACCCAAAAGATTTGAAATCGGTTTGTCTGCGCTCCCACAGTCATTGTATTGCTGGGTACAGTGGCTCATGTTTGTAATCCAAACACTTCAGGAGGCCCAGGCAGGCGGATTGCTTGAGCTCAGGTGTTTGAGACCAGCCTGGGCAACATAGCAAAACTCACACTCTACAAAAAATACAAAAGTTATCCCAGCACAGTGGCATACGCCTGTAGTCCCAGCTACTCGGGAGGCTGAGGTGGGAGAATGGCTTGAAGCCAAGAAGTGGCAGTTGCAGTGAGCTGAGGTTTCACCACTGTGCTCCCGCCTGGATAAAAGAGAGACTCTATGAAACAAAGAAACAAAAAGCCACACACACATAAAGAGAAACAAAAAGAAAAAGAAAACCTGTTCCTTGCAGTGATGTTTACATATTCACATTAGCCAACTGTTGGGATCAAACTAAGTAGCCCATCGATAGATAAACAGAGAAAGAAAATTTGGAGGTATACATGATGGAATGCTACTTGGACTTTAATAGAAGGGAATTCTGTTATTTGTGACAACATGAATAGAGTTAGAGAACCTTATGCCATGTGAAGTGAGCCAGGCACAGAAAAAAATACCATGTGTTCTCACTTATGTAAGGAACCTAAAACAATCAAACTCAAAGAAGCAGAGAGGAAGGTAGGAAGGAAGGAAGAAGGGAAGGGGAAAGGAAGGAAGGAAGAAAGGAAAAGACTCTATAGCTCTTTGAGAGAATAAGGTGGTACTATAAGTACTGCCATGGAAAGATTTTGAAAGCTGTAATTTCAAGGAAAAAAAATACAGACTGTGCTAAATCGTCCTGTTTATGTAAAAGGGGGACTACATATATGTGTTTATCTATGTTCATAAGAAATATCTGTGGAAGGAACGAAAACAGAACGAGATACTGTGATTGACTTTAAGAAGTGGTGAGGTGGTCCAAGAGTCAGGGATAAAAGACTCACCTATGTCTTTTTGCTATGTGCATTTATTATTTGATTTTAAATTATTATTTGATTATTTTACTTTAAGATTTCAGGTTTTTTCAAGTTTTGGGACATTTGCATTTTACTTATGGTTGAGCATCTCTAATCCCAAAATCCCAAATCCCAAAATGCTCCGATGAGCATCTCCTTTGAGCATCATTTTTAATTTTATTTTATTTTGAGCGTCATTTCAGCACTCAAAAAGTTTCAGATTTTCAAATGTTTACTGAGTGTCTTCCACATGCCAGGCACCAGACTAGCGCGGGGAAACAGGGGTAAGTACTGATGAGGGTCCCAGCCCCCAGTGGTAGGATTTCGTGGTGGGGGGGGGGAGATAAAGGATTGCCCAGAAGGGTGGTGAGCAGAGTAGCTAATATAAATAACAGGGTGCGATGAAATACATAGTCACATATGGGGCGGGTGCCGAGGGCCCTTCATTAAGGGACTGCTTCCTTGAGGGGTGATACCCAAGCGGCGTCCTGACAACCTGAGTCGAGTCAGAAGTAACGAGGAGAGGAGGAGGTGGAAGGAATCCACGTCCCAAGAGAGAGGCAACTTTCCCTACACAGCACAGGACACGGTCCGTGCACAGAAGCGACTGGAGTCGCAGGCACAGGGGCTGGGGAGGATCCTTGCTGGGCCCTCTCCATCCACGCCGCCGCCTCCCTCTGCCAGGTGTCTGCTATCGGCTTCTTGCCTGGCAGAGGAAGTCCAGTCCCTGCTCTGGGAAGCGCCTCCAGGCCTTCCGCTTCCCTGACTCGGAACTGGTCCCCGGTCCAGCAGGTAAACCCAGGAAGTACGAGGCTGGTCTCCACGCCAGCTGTGGACGAATTAAAGGCCCAGCGCAGCCTGGGCTCCTCTAGTGATGATGCCCTGAGACCTTGTCTTTCTCCAGGAAAACGTGGACCACTCTCTGCCTTCTACAGACCCCTCTCGCCCTCGTCCCCCAATCTATTTCTGTTTTGTCTTTCCGCTCAGTCGTTGCAAGCAAGGAAGCCCCGGCCGCCCTAGCGAAGGCGGCCCCGGGGGCGGAGTCAACCGCGGAGGTCACGCCCTCTGATAAAGGGCGGGGCATGCAAATTTGAAATCAAAGCCCGGGAACGCCGGAACAATCTCGGGTGTAAGAGTTCCCTTTTTAAACATGGAGAATAAGAAATCAGCCCGAATGTGTAATGGCATCAATAGTGGTGTGGAAGAGACCAAGAGGATGAGGCGAAGTGAAAGGCTGGAGCTCTCACCACGACTTGAATGTGTATGAGAGTGGGGTGGTGACTGCGGGGGCAAAAGACGTTTTCCTTTTTAGCTAAGATTATATGTGGTATTTGTTCTTATCAATTTGATACATGATATGTTCTCTATCTGACAGCAATGTGTCAAATGTATTTTTGGAGCTAGGGAAGAGAATAGGAGTTCGTTCTATATACTCTACGTATCGATCTGATATTGCAGTACTTCCAGAAACGGTCCAACTCCTTCAGGGAATACAGTTGGTCTGCAGAATTAGAATTAACGCTCCTGCGATGTAGCTTGTTTTAGCCTCAGATAAGCCAGTTTTCTTCTTTCTTAGAAGGTGCTCTAAAGTTTTTCGTTTGCCAACGGTATATGTTGTGGGCTCTGGCCATTTGGAGGTACTTAATTTCAGCTTGGCCATTGAGTGATGGTGTTTTTATTAGAGAAATGGGGTGTACCACTTACCCATCCTGGACTTGGATGTTTCTTTCCTTTAAATTTGGGATACATGTGTGGAACCTGCAGGGTTGTTGCATGGGTCTGCATGTGCCATAGTAGTTTGTTGCACCTATCAACCAGTCATGTAGGTTCCAGGCCCTGCATGCAGTGGGTATTCGTCCTAATGCGCGTTCTCTCTCCCCTTCCCCGCTACTTCCCATCTGGCCTCAGTGTGTGATGTTCCTTTTCCTGTGTCCACGTGTTCTCATTGTTCAATTCACACTGCGGATGAGAGCATGCAGTGTTTGGTTTTCGGTTTCTGTGTCGCTTTGCTGGGAATGATGGCTTCCAGTTTCATCCATGTTCCTGCAGAAAATATGAACTCATTCTTTTTTATGGCTGCATGGTCATTCCATGGTGTTGTATGTACCACATTTTCTTTGTCCAGCCTGTCATTGATGGGCATTCGAATTGTTTCAAAGTCTTTGCTATTCTAAATAGTACCTCAATAAGCATAGGTGTCTATGTGTAAAAAAAAAATCAGATTTTGAAGCATTTTAGATTTCAGATTAGGCTAATAAACTCACACTGATACATGCTACAAGGTGGATGAAATTTGGAAACATTATGCCAAGTGAAAGAAGCCAGACACTAAAAGTTACATATTACATAATTCAATTTATATGAAATATCTAGAATAGGCAAATCTGTAGAAACAGAAGGCAAATTAGTGTTTGCTGGCGGCTGGAGGTGGGGAAGAGAAGAATGGAGAGTGATTACTGATGCGTATGGGATTTCTTTTGGAATAATGGCCGTGACCTGAGGGAGTGGCAGGATGGGAAGCCTGCGTTGTGAAACTGCAAGGCACACCCATGACCACAGTGCACTTGATGCAGCCTGTGGTCTGCAGAAGGGCATAGAGGCAGGGGGAGCTGAGGCCGGTGGGTATGGCAAGCTCATGGGGGAGCCAGAATTTGGTCTTAAAAAATTTGAAATGATTCTGCAGACAATGGAACATATTGGCTTTCCTGGAGGAGAGAAGTGTCCTATGTTTTAACCGCCCATCTGTGTGGACTGTACACAGAGAAGGAGAAACGCTAGAGTTATAGACATAGGTAAACCATGCAGGGGTCCTCGTGAGAGGAAACGCTGCATAATACTGGAAACTTCCCTCTGCCTTTTCTGTCAGACGAAAACTCTGGAAAGAGCCACCCTTCATATGAAGGAATGAACCAGTGCAGCCCATGGAGCCAGGATCTCAGCAAAGGCTGAGACTGACCCCCACCTGCTTGCCCATGTTGGATCTTGCACCTTCCATTCCAGATGTTTCACTGCCTGTAAGGGGTATGTTCCCACTCCATCCTGTTGACCTCTGCTGGTCACCTGCATGTGTGCACAGCGTTCAGAATAGTGTCTGACCCATAGCCAGTGCCACCTAAGGGATTTTTGTGGTCTGACGATACTCTGGATCCCCTGCTCCTCCCATGCGAGCTGTGTGTGAAAGCATCACTCCCCAAAGCAGTCTGCTGTGTTCCAGCAAGTTCCCAGCCTGGGCCAAGCATTCCAACTTGACAAGCCAATCTGGGATCGGGGTCCCCCAGGGCTGGTTTTTCTTACTTTATAGGTTATCTTGGCCAGTGCAGTGACTCACGCCTGTAATCCCAGCACTTTGGGAGGCTGAGGCGGGCAGATCAGCTGAGGTCAGGAGTCCAAGACCAGCCTGGCCAACATGGTGAAACCCTATCTCTACTAAAAAAACCCAAAAAACCAAAAAACCAAAACACACACACAAAGATTAGCTGGGTGTGGTGGCGCAGCTGGTATTCCCAGCTACTAGGGAGGCTGAGGCGGAAGACTTGCTTGAACCTGGGAGGTGGAGGTAGCAGTGAGCCACAATTGCACTACTGTCCTCCAGTCTGGGTGAGAGGGTGAGACTCCATCTTGGGAAAAAAAAAAGCTCCATCTTGGGAAAAAATGTCTATTTGGTCATAGGATACCTTTCTTACAAAATAAAAATTCACTGTATGTTATGGATTTCAGGCTCATCACATTGATAAGATAAAGGTACCAGTTTGGTAAGTATATTTAAGGAGTCAGTGCAGTCAACCTCCATGGCAATATTAAGGAAAGTATATGGTGACTAATACTGTGGGAGCACCGTGGTCATTGTAGCCTAATTAGAGAAGTAAGAGAGTTCTGTACTTGTGGAGACCACAGCCATTGGCCCCCTAAAGGTTGACTGAAAAATCACTGGCATGAGATAGGTCAAATAATAGGAGAAAAGGCCTACAAAATTATTTAACCTGTATACACAGGAGCCTTCAGGGTAAAGACCTAACTTTCCGATGAGTTACAGAAACTCATATACCATTTTGAGATAACAGAAAGAAAGGGGGCCTGGATTCTAGTAAAACAGGTTATAGGAGGGAAAACAAGAGGAATTCTATTGAAGGACAATAAATAATTGGTAGGGAGGATGATTGGATGGGGAACAAAGATTAACTTGTAAATAGTTTTCTTTGTAATGTAGATAATTCTTGGGATCATTATACTGTCATTATATTCCTGCCATAATAGTCACTGTACTCGTGAAAAGGTCTGCTCAGGTGCGGTCACATCCTGGTCTCCCTTTCAGCAATAGATAATGCAATAACAGGGAGGAAAATAAAAAAAAGTTATTCTCTTTGATGGGTCCGAATCTTAAGCAGATGAAAGGAACTTCAGCTTCTTTGAGAGAGACAGTGGAGAGGGGAAGGTCAAAGAGACCTTGAGGCTTCTTAAATTCAGCATATTTTACCATATTTTGGGGTATTGGTTTCTGAGCTCACATATAAAAATTTTTTTAATTAAAAATATTTTATAGACAGAATCTGACTGATGTGGTTTGGCTGTGTCCCCATTCAAATCTCAACTTCAGTTGATCTCCCAGAATTCCCAAATGTTGTGGGAGGGACAGGGGGAGGTAATTGAATCATGGGGGCAGGTCTTCCCTGTGCTATTCTCATGATAAATAATGAGTAAGTTTCAGATATGTGACAGGTTTATCAGGGTTTCCACTTTTGCTTCTTCCTCCGTTTCTCTTGCTGCCCCAAGTGCCTTTCACCCCCCGCAGTATGATTCTGAGGCCTGCCCAGCCTTGTGGAACTGTAAGTCCAATTAAACCTTTATTTCTTCCCAGTCTGGGGTATGTCTTTATCAACAGTGTGAAAACAAATACACTCACTGTGTTGCCTGAGCTGAATTGCAGTGATACAATGATAACAGTACAATCACCACAGACATGGTGGTGGCGGATACCTGTAATCCCAATTACTTGGGAGGCTGAGGCAGGAGAGTTGCTTGAATCCAGGAGGCAGAGGTTGCAGGGAGCAGAAATTGCCCCATTGCACTCCATTGAATGCCCACCAGCCTAGTGAGGTGGGAATTCAGAGTTAGATTTGACCTGATTTCTTTCTCATCCATTGTTTTGAGTTGTAATTCATATATTGTAAAATTCATTCTTTTATTATTATTGTTTTTAAAGACGGGCTCACTCTGTTGCCCAGGCTGGAGTGCACTGGCATGAGTGTGGCTCACTGCAGTGTTGACCTCCTGGGCTCAAGCCATCCTCCCACCTCATCTCCCAAGTACCTGGGACTACAGGTGTAAGCCCCCTCACCCAGCTAATTTATTTTCATTTTTGATAGAGATGAGGTCTTGCCATGGTGCCCAGGCTGGGCTTGAACTCCTGATCTCAAGCAATCCTCCCACCTAGCTTCTCAAAGTGCTGGCATTACAGCTGTGAGCCACCACACCTGGCCAAAATTCATGCTTTTAAAGTTTACAGTTTGGTAGTTTTTCCTTCTGTGTGAACACAGAATCATGCAACCATTAACACTATTAAATTCTAGAGCACGTTCATTATTCCAAAAGAAATCCCATACACATCAGTAATCACTCTCCATTCTTCTCTTTCCCACCCCCAGCCCCTGGGAAACACTAATTTACCTTCTGCTTCTATAGATTTGCCTCTTCTAGACATTTCATATAGATTGAATTATGTAACATGTATCCTTTAATGTCTGGCTTCTTTCACTTGGCATAATGTTTCCAACATTCATCCACCTTGTAGCATGTATCAGTGCCAGTTTATTATGCCTAATCTGAAATCTAAGATGCTTCAAAATCTGACCTTTTTTTTAATACATGGACACGTATGTTTATTGCAGCATGATTTAGAATAGCAAAGACTTTAAACCAATTCCAATGCCCACCAATGATAGGCTGGACAAAGAAAATGTGACACATACACTTCATGGAATGACTATGCAGCCATAAAAAACAATGAGTTCGTGTCTTTTGCAGGAACATGGATGAACCTGGAAACCATCATTCTCAGCAAACTGGCACAAGAACAGAAAATCAAACACCGAATGTTCTCACTCATAGGTGGGTGTTGAACAATGAGGACACAGGGACACAGGGAGGGGAGCATCACACACTGGGGTCTGTTGGGGGGAAATAGGGGAGGGACAGCGGGCGGTGGGGAGTTGGGGAGAGATAGCTTGGGGAGAAATGCCAGATATAGGTGATGGGGAAGGCAGCAAATCTCACTGCCACGTGTGTACCTATGCAACAATCTTGCAAGTTCTTCACATGTACCCCAAAACCTAAAATGCAAAAAAAAAAAAAAAATGTCCAAGTCCAGGCGGGGCAACTGGTGCACCCCATTTCTTTAAGTGATTACAATCACTTATTACCCAGCTGAGATCCAAAGAAATCTAGGAAACATTGAACATGCTCTATTGGCACATAGTTATAGTTACAGTGAAAATCGAAGTACTGGGAGACCTATCGTATGCCACCAGCAGATCAGACCCTTACATCACTTTCAGAAAATAGATCTGAGAGCTAATCAGGAATATTTTTTACTCACACCTTGCAAACAGATTGTACCCCGCGAGGATACTGCACGGAGTGAATAAGGTAAGCTGCTACTCAGTCTTCCAACTCCATAAATGCATTTTATATATTTTTGTCGGATAGCATATAGACTACGTATCAGACACTAAGCTGATAAAAACAGATATTATACTTAATGTCAGCCAAAAGGCCGTGAAGCGATACTGTCACTATCGTCCCCACCGTCACCTTCCCATTCTCTTCCACGTTCATGTCTCGGTGAGAGCCCCAGCCTAGCTCCTCGCCTCTTTCCCAGGGTCTCTTCACACCACTATTGATGCCATTACACACTCGGGCTGATTTCTTATTCTCCAGGTTTGAAAAGGAAAATCTTACACTTGGGATTACTCCGGCCTTCCCGGGCTTTCATTTCAAATTTGCATGCCCCGCCCTCTCCCAAGGGGCGTGGCATCCGCGGTTGACTCCGCCCCCCCGGGGCCCGCTTACGCTTGGGGAGCCGGGGCTCAGCTGTGGGCGACTTCTTGGTTTGTATCCACCTAGCGAAAAGACAACCAAAAGACACCTGGCGGGGTGGGGACGATGGGGAGAGGAGTCTGTAGAAGATACCTGTTGGCGGAGAGTGGTCCACGTTTTCCCGGAAAAAGGAAAGGTCTCAGGGCTTCATCACTAGAGGAGCTGAGGCTAAGCTGGGCCTTTAGTTCGTCAACAGCTGGCGGGAGACCAGCCTCCTACCTGCTAGACCAGGGACCCATTCCGAGACAGGGAAGCAGAAGGTCTGGAGGGGCTTCCCAGAGCAGGGACTGGACTTCCTCCCCGAGGCAGGAACTAGAGACGGATTTCACCATGTTGGCCAAGCTGATCCCAACTGCTGACCTCAGGTGATCCACCCGCCTCGGCCTCCCAAAGTGCTGGTTTGATAAAGGATGGCAGGTCAGCGTTTCTTGTTTGTACCCTTGACTATGTGGACTAAGAGTTAAACCTATTGCAGTGATTATCTATTATACAGGGCATGCTTCTCGCAACATACTGTAAAATTGTTGGCTCAATATTGGTCTTTCCACTTAGACTATGAGCTATATTGACCTCTGTTTTCCTCCTTGTAACTGCTTTTCCAGACCCTTGGACAAAGTAGACATGTATATTTATTGAAAGGAATGGAAAGAAGTAAACTAATGAGTGATTGAATGAATGAATGCCTGACCAGGCTCTCACTGTTAGTAAGGACCTTCAGCAGAAGGAAGCTCTGTTCCTTTTTGCTCTGTGTCCTCTGAGTAGTGACCTCTCTGCAGTCCTACTTGCCTATCCAGCAGCAGTGCCGATCTCTTGCTCTCAGAACACAGGAGGCTCAGCCGGGCGTGTGTGCAGGGTTTTCCCTGGAACTGGGGCCCCTTGTCTGTGTTTTAAAATTACCTGGTACTTAGCTAGCTGATGCCTGTGTCGCAGGCTGCATAACTCAAATTCATTTGCATTTCCTCTGATTTTCCATTCTTCTAAACAGTTTAAATTCACCTCCTGCAGGGGACCACCCCAAACCCCTCCAGACTGTAGGAAGCATCTCTTCTCGCTTTCTCCCTCTCTCAATCAAACAATAAAACATAGTAAAAAGACAGGTGAATGTTTTATCCCTGACTCTTGGACCACCCCACCTCTTCTTAAAGTCAATCACAATAACTGGTTCTTTTTTCATTCCTTGTGTAGCTATTTCTTTCTTTTTCTTTTTTTTTAAATTTTATTTAGGCTTCAGTCCAACATGAAGAATATCCTCCTTAGAGATTTGGGCAAACATACATGGAGGATGCCATGTGAAGGTAAGGACAGATGGAGTGATACTGCAAGCTAAGGAACCTCAGATGTCCATTGGGTAGCTATTTCTAATGCATATAGATAAGCACATACATGTAGGCCCCCATTTTACATAAATGGTACCATCTGGCACAATCTGTATTTTTTTCCTTGAAATTACAGCTTTAAGATCTTGCCATGGCCATACTTATAATACCACCTTATTCTTTCCAGGAGCTATATAGTCCCCCTTCCCTCCCCTCCCCTCCCCTCCCCTCCCCTCCCCTCCCCTCCCCTCCCATTCCCTCTCTTTCCCTTCCTTTCCCCTCTCTCTCCCTCCCTCCTTCCCTTCCTTTCCCTTTTGTCCTGCTCCCTTTCCCCCTCCCCTTCCCCTCTCCCCTTCCCCTCCCCCTCCCCTTCCCTTTCCTTTTTGCTTCCAGGTTGGCGTGTAGTCTCAGCTCACTGCAACCTCTGCCTCCTGAGTTCAGACCATTCTCCTGCCGTAGGCTCTCAAGTAGTGGGACTACAGGTATGTGCCACCATGGCCCTCTAATTTTTGTATTTTTGGTAGAGATGGGGTTTCACCATGTTGGTCAGGTTGGTCTTGAACTCCTCACCTTGAATGATCTGCTAGCTTCGGCCTCCCAATATATTGGGACTACAGGCATAAGCCACCGCACCCAGCCTAAGAGCTGTAAAACATTTCATTAGGTGGTTGTATCACAGTTAATGTGACAATTTCCAGTCTTTTATATTACAAAAGATGCTTTAATTAGTACTCTTGTACATATATGTTGTATATCTTGTACATACATATATCTTGTACATCTCTCTCCCTTGCCTGTCCTTTGTTAGAAAATGGGGGAGGGGAGATAAAATAGCACAAAATTGAAGTCTGTAATCAGGCAAGATGCTGACCCACCAGCCCAACCACAGTGGGGCCCAAGGACTGAGAAATAATCCTTCTCTCTGTAACCGGTATCTGTGTTATCTGACAGCCTTGAAAGTGTTGCAAATGTTTTTCTTACTGCCCAAGGACCTTCCCTGAGTCACATACTCCCCAGACACCCTTAGAGATCCCTCTGTCACTAAGTGATTACTGCCTTTGTTCAACTTCTGTAACTCTTCCCCTCCTGCGCCACATGTAAGTTAGCAAATCAATGAAAGCCAAAGACTGTAATGTCAGATGTCCAGCCACTGGGCAATGACACAGTTTTACCTCTGCTCCCCTTTGGGTTATATGTCTTTAAAAAGGGAAATAAACTGCTTTTGGGGGAGCTTGGCTTTTTTTTTTGAACACGAGCCAACCAGTGCTCCTCAGCTAGCCAGATACAAGTCTCTTCCTTACTCACTCTGGTGTCTGAGGGGCTATGTCAGCGGCTTTTCCTGCCACAATGTGAGCACATATATTTGTGAGGGGTAACAGCCTAGAATTGAAATAGCTGGCCAGGCATGGTGGCACACACCTGTAATCCCAGCACTACGGGAAGCCATGGCAGGCAGATCACCTGGGGTCAGGAGTTCAAGGCTAGCCTGACCGACATATAGTGAAACCCTGTCTCTACTGAAAAATACAAAAATTAGCTGGGCATACTGGTGCACACCTGCAGTCCCAGCTACTTGGGAAGCTGAGGCAGGAGAGTCACTTGAATCTGGGAGACGGAAGTTGCAGTGAGCTGATATTGTGCCGCTGAACTAAGTCTGGACAACAGAGCCAGACTTTGTCTTTCAAAAAAAAAAAAAAAAAGAAAGAAAGAAAAAAGGAAATAGCTGAATCAAGGGTTTTTTTCATTCCCATTTTACAGATGAGATACATGCCTTTAAACCTTTGATATTGGCCGGGCGCGGTGGCTCACGCCTATAATCCCAGCACTTTGGGAGGCCGACGCGGGTGGATCATGAGGTCAAGAGATCGAAACCATCCTGGTCAACAAGGTGAAACCCTGTCTCTACTAAAAATAGAAAAATTAGCTGGGCATGGTGGTGCATGCCTGTAGTCCCAGCTACTTGGGAAGCTGAGGCAGGAGAATCGCTTGAACCCAGGAGGCGGAGGTTGCGGTGAGCCGAGATCGTGCCATTGCACTCCAGCCTGGGTAACAAGAGTGAAACTCTGTCTCAAAAACAAACAAACAAACAAACAAAAAACCTTTTGATATTGATAAATATCAAAATACCTTTGATATTGATAAATTTATTTCCAAAGAAGTTGTATCAATTTATACTCTCAACAACAAAGTGTATCTGTCTATTCATTTGTAAATACAGTATTATACAAATTTTTGATATTTGCCAAGCGGACAAAAAATGGTGTCTTATAGTTTTAATTTGCATATTTGGAAAGATGATAGTATGATAACAAATAGTTACATAAGCACAATACTTTCTCAGTACTTTTACTTTTTGTGTAAAGTACTTGAATAAATACAAATACTTAAAAATACTTAAAAGCTGTTTATAGTAATTCCATAGTTATATTCTTGTCCATTATCCATTTTCTGTTAAGGAAATTAAACTTTTTTATGATACAAATTGAAAATAGTTTTCCCCAGCCATATTTTGTCTTTCAACTTTATGGTATTTTTTTGATGCCAATTTCTAGAAATGTAAAATATATTACTTTAAAAAAATGGAAGTTCTAGGGATTGTTTTTTGCTTAGAAAGATGTGACTTCCAATGTAAATTACTTTTTGTCTCATTTTTACATATAACTTCGTGACTCATCTAGATTCTATTTTTATGCACAGTGTGAGATAGAGATTTGACTTGATTGTCTCTCCGGAGGCTAGCTATTTTCAACAACACCATTTCTCTTCTGATTAGAACTGACACCTTTCTCACATTCTAGATAACCCAACACATTTAAATCTGTTTCTAGAATTTATACTGCTGTAGTGATCCACTTCCTTATTTAGGTGTCAATACCAAATTATTTCATTTACTGTGGTGTATTTATTTATTTATAATTTATAATTTTTATTTTTTTAGACAGAGTTTCACTCTTGTTGCCCAGATTGGAGTGCAACGGTGCATTCCCGGCTCACTGCAACCTCTGCCTCCCAGGTTCAAGCAATTCTCATGCCTTAGCCTCTTGAGTATCTGGGATTACAGGCATGCGCCACCATGCCTGGCTAATTTTTGTATTTTTAGTAGAAATGGGGTTTCTCCATGTTAGGCTGGTCTTGAACTCCTGACCTCAGGTGATCTGCCCATCTTGGCCTCCCAAAGTGCTGGGATTACAGGAGTGAGACATGGTGCCTGGCCCTATTGTGATCTTATAGTATATTTTAATAGGTGAAATATATTTAAAAATCCTTTCTCAGGATTTTTTTTTTTGAGACAGAGTTTCGCTGTTGTTACCCAGGCTGGAGTGCAATGGCGCGATCTCGGCTCACCGCAACCTCCGCCTCCTGGGTTCAAGCAATTCTCCTGCCTCAGCTTCCCAAGTAGCTGAGACTACAGGCACACACCACCACACCCAGCTAATTTTTGTATTTTTAGTAGAGACGGGGTTTCACCTCGTTGACCAGGATGGTCTCAATCTCTTGACCTCGTGATCCACCCGCCTTGGCCTCCCAAAGTGCTGGGATTATAGGCGTGAGCCACCGCACCCGGCCTTTCTCAGGATTTTATGGTTATTTTTTCATGTAAGCTTTGGAATCAGATTGTCTTACATTAAGAAAAATGCCTATTGGCATTTTAAATTTTATTTATTTAAGTTTTTAGATTAAGTTTTTGGAGCAGTTTTTGGTTTACAGAAAAATTGAGGAGAAAATACAGAATTGCTATATGTCTCCCCTTCACACACCATGGTTTTCTTTTTTTTTTTGGAGACAGAGTTTCACTCTTGTTACCTAGGCTGGAGTGCAATGGCGTGATCTCGGCTCACCGATACCTCCACCTCCTGGGTTAAAGCAGTTGTCCTGCCTCAGCCTCCCGAATAGCTGGGACTACAGGCTGCGCCACCATGCCCAGCTAATTTTGGTATTTTCAGTAGAGACGGGGTTTCACCATGTTGACCAGGATGGTCTCGATCTCTTGACCTTGTGATCCACCTGCCTTGGCCTCCCAAAGTGCTGGGATTATAGGCGTGAGCCACTGTGCTGGGCCCTCTTTTTTTCTTTCTTTCTTTTTTGTTTTTTGAGACAGGGTTTCACTCTGTCACCCAGACTGGAGTGTAGTAGTGTGATCATGGCTCACTGCATCCCCAGCCTCCTGGGCCCAAAGGATCTTCCCACCCCAGCCTCCAGAGTAGCTGGGACCACATGTGTATGCTACCATGCCTGGCTAATTTTTAGTATTTTTTGTAGAGATGGGGGTCTCCCTATGTTGCCTAGGCTAGACTTGAACCCCTGAGCTCAAGTGATTCTCCTCTCTCAGCCTTCCAAAGTGTTGGGATTGCCGGCATGACCACCATTCTCAGCCAGTTTTCCCTATTATTAATATCCTGTAATTAAAATGGATGAGCCAGTATTGATACTTTATTGTTAACTAAAGGCCATACTTTACATTAGATTTATGCTTTGGGGTGTACATGCTATGAATTTTGACAAATGCATCGTGTCATGTGTCTACCATTGCTGTATCATTCAGAATAAGCAGTGTCACTGCCCTAGTAATCCCATGGCTCACCTATTCATCACACTCTTCCTGGTCGTCCACTGAATCCCTAACAGTTGATCTTATTACAATCTTTACAATTCTGCCTTTTCTAGAATGTCATGTGGTTAGAATCATACAGCATATAGTCTTTGCATCCTGGCCTCTTTTACTTAGCAGTTTGCATTTATGGTTTCTGTCATGTCTTTTTGTGGCTTGGTGGCTCATTTTTCATTACTGAATAATATTCCATTGTATGAATGACTAGTTTATCCATTCAGCTATTGAGGAACACCTTGGTTGCTTCTAATTTTCGGCAATTATAAATAAAGCTGCTATAAACATTTATGTTTGGGATTTTTTGTGAACATAGTCTTCAGCTCATTTGAGTAAACACCTAGAAGCATGATTATTGGATCATATGGTAAGA